ATTTCCCCTGTACTTACTCATCATGATGTTATGATACCCTCACCAGAGAAACACACTCCTTTACATTTCTTCTGTATTTAAGCATCATGGTGTTATGCTCAAATTGTTTCCCATAACAAATGAAACAAGCTTTATACAAAAAAGAATAAATACACAGGATGACAGCAAGGAATGTTTTTGCCAGTATTAATTAGGCATCAATTCACTGTTGCTTAGTCATGGGTATTTTGCTTCTTTCCTCTTGGTTTAGGTCCCCGTTTTCTTGTTTTCTCTTCTCCTTACATGACAGCCACTCATTTTAACACAGTATATTCACAACAGAACCTCTGCATATTATCACAGACAAAAAGCCACTGAAGAGAGGCTGTAACAGAAGGCAACTCTACCTGGGTAAGCATTTGAAAAAGTGAATAAATTACAAATAAAATAGTAAAGTATTCAAAGGTACCTCATCCCCCAAAGGGGTTACAAAAAGGGGTCAGTGATTAGAGATCTGTTAAGCAAAAGGGGAGAATCACTGACTGACACGTGTTGTACACAGAGCAAGGACTCTCCAGTCAAGCTTTTCTCCCTCTACGGTAGATGAGTCCAACTCCAAGTCTCTCCAAACTGCCCAGGTTTCATAAGCATTAATTAATCCTTCATTAAGCATCTGCATCCAAACTTCCTTGCCCAGCTGTAATTCAAGTTCTTCCAACCCATCTTGTTTAAAATTTTTACTTGTTTTCTTCTTTGTGGTTACCAGGATCTGCGGGTTTATGTGGCACAAGACAACACATATGTGTTGTTAACCCCGAATGCCTTGGGGCTTGGAGGGATCTTGTAAACTTAGTGAAAATTTCCATGTAGACTATGACAAGTTCAAGATGGTTGGCAAAGCTTCATTAAACCAGCAACTCCTATGGGGTAGCTAAAGAAACACCTCTGAAAAGGAATATTGAGAAAGGGTGACCCAGCTTCCAGGAGGGTAGAAGCTCCTATCAAAAGGAAGGGAGGAAGGAGACAGCATGGCATAAGACATGTTTAGCTTTACTTGACTAGGCCATTGGAATCACCACTGGAATGAAATTTCTTCCTGTCTGACTAAGAAGAGAACTGCTAGTAATATATGAAACACAGTAATATTTTTTTCTTTAACTAGAATGCTATCCAACTCATTAACATCAGGTTTTGTTTTGCATTCTCAACAGGAAGATTCCTGAAAATCTCATGGAAAAAAATGCTCAGCTGAAAACTGGGTCCAAAAACCAAGAAACCACAAAATGCAAATCTCCCCTGCCTTGCTGGGCCTACATTTCCTCAAAGTTTAAAGTCTTTTCAGTGAATGTGTTCTGAATTAAATTTTGTAAAAAAAGGACAAAGTTTTCACACGATTTCAGGTTTCACTGGAAGGTCTTTACCGATCTAATCAATGTGCTGTTCTGTAGGCAAAACTGTTGCCCTAGTGGCTGTGCAAATGGTAACTGATACGCTACACACTCCTAAATCAAAGCCTAGACACCCTATTGAATATTCATACATATGGTGAAATTCTGCACTTCAGTAATTATACCAAGCAGTGGACCAAAAATAAACAAGAGAAGGAATAACTAGCATAGACTACAAGTACTTCATTTACTAGTTCTGCCCCATCAACTGCACATCATCTTCATGGATACCCTGTGCTGCAAAAAAATGGGGTCCACATGTTAGATAAAAGAAACCACTGGTTGTAAGACAACAAACTACTGGTTGTAAGACAACAGTTTTCTGACCTCCCCAGTAAATGTGGTTCTGCTTAGAAGGTAACTGATGTACACTATCATAACAATGGGTATCATCATCCTTCAGTCGCACCATCATAAATCTAAAAGGTCATCCAACCTAAGAGCTCACTTAAAAAAAGAACATTCTCTGGAGACTCTTGCTGAAAAAAATGCAGGAAAAGGCTGTGTTAGAGACATATTTCACAGCCTCCTAAGACAGAGAAGAAGATACCAATGGAGATCTGGACGTTTGGTTTGCTTTTCCGTGGAACAAGCCATTGACTTGAACAGCCCACCTTTTTATTGGTGGAATGGCAGACACAGTCTTAGACTCTAGAAACCACAGATTTATTTTTGCTGACTTTTGTATTTTTGTTTGGTTGTCTCTAGTTTGAAACTCAACATTTGTAATCAGAGAAAGGAAGGAGAAAAAAAATCCATATTGAAAAGGAGGTGTTTATGCACTCTGCAATACTTGGGACTAGTTATGATACTGCCTTTGTTCTTCCTCCTTCTTCCTTTGTCACAATTGTCACAGATGTCTCTGGCTGCATGAGGCTCCTGGTGTGGGCCAAGCAGCTTTTGTTTGGTTTGCTTTTTTAAAGCAGAGAACAGTCAGTCTGTTCTTTTTTCTGTAGCACATCATCAACAATATTACAAAGAACAGGAGGGGGACACTGAAGCCAATTTCTACTTTCTGGCACAAAGCATGTGGCTCCTATTTTATTTTATGGAAGTTTTATAGAGAGTGTTTTCAGGTAATTAGGAAAGTAAAGAACTAGAATTTTCACATAGTCAGATGCCTCGAATTTAAGATCATAAACAACAGTGAGGTGGGATAATGCATAAGCACAAAAGCATACAGAAAATAACTAACACAGCAAAAAGAACAGACAGGTTGCAGAAAAACTCTCTCTCATCTTAATGAAAACTCTTTAAAAAACAGCCTTGCTGTATAAACATAGTCTAGTGGAGTATCTGCAAGTTTAACCAATCAAAAACTAGAAGTAGTCCAATTAAAATGTAAGTCCTGTCACTGTAAGCTTGCCAAAAGTCCTCCTGCACATTATACAGTGAAGAGAAGTTAAGATGCATTCTTAAGATTCCTTATGCTTTACAAATCCACAGCTATGCTCAGCTGGGAAATGTTAGGGGGGAAAAAAAAAAAAAAGAGGTTGGAATCCTTTTCAGAATAAAAGATTTCAAAATATGCTCTTTTTCCTTTAAAAAACACATGTTGCCTTTTGTTTCTGTCTGTCTTGAAGAAGAATACAGAATACAGCTGAGCAGAACAGACATACTTTAAAGAACAGGCTTGAGTTACTCAGGTCAGATTCTCCCTAAAATATATGTATGCATCTTCAGTTATCTTCATATATACAGCAGATGGCTGCAACCATCAGCTTATTTGCAGTATATCTAATACCAACCCCTTTCAAAAACATTTTAGGAGCACCTGCTGATAATGTCAAAATGAAACTTTCCACAACAGCTGTGAAGTACCCACTGAAAGAAATCAGAATTTTATCATTTTTGGTGGCACTGGAAAGGTATGGTCACCCTGTCAAAAGATCCTTTCTTGTGGAAAGGGTAACTAAAAGGATAGGTCCATTATCTTTAGGAATAGCTCAAACCAGTATTTTATGATGAAGCGATTGATAGAGACAGAACTACTGCATTTATTTTGTTTAATAGGTTATTAGGGCACTAAAATTGGAAGAAATTGCCTTGAATCACAAAAGAAAAAATTAAGACAAAAATTTGACTTCGTGTGAAACAGATTAGAATTACAACTGAAAATAAGCAAAACAGAATAGTGTATCTTCGTTTAGAGGTAACTGAGCACACAGGGGAGCTGCACCCACTTACATAAAATAGGATTCTGATCCAATGTGCCAGTACTGACACTGACTCTAGCTACATTCTTTTACTCATGCTGCACTCAAAATCCAATGGATTTCTGCTTACCTACTTCTCTTAATACAGAACAAAGGAAAGACGCTCCAGAGGCACAAGGTGAATTACAAAGTGCTAATTGGCACGGAGTATAATACAGCTGACCAGCTTCCCAGCACAAACAGAGGGTTATGTCAGTCCTTCCTTTCATGGGTGATAGACAACACCTTTCCCCCATCATGTGCTTATGTACAGTCTGGATTGCTCAGTGCATTCTTATAATCCTCCTCCTGCAGCCATACAGCCACCACAGTCTCCATTAAACCCTCCCCTGAAGGGATTCTTTAGCTCCTAGTCACAAACCTGCCTGCGCCTATTCTCTGAACAGAACTACCAGCTCTTACAAGTTACATTAAGAGACTCTCTACATGTAGTGAAAATCACATTAAAAACGCAGTATGGCCCTATAAAACCGCTATACAGTGGATATGTTTGTATCCACTGCACTTAGTTCACATCTAATGAGGAAACATCTCCTGAGAAACGTGATATGCAGAATGCAAGTGAGAATATGAGAATATAAACAAGATCAATATAAATACTGTATTTTGTTTCCAGTTGAGTAATTATTTGATTACAAGAACTCCTTTTGTCCAGCTCACAAAACAAATACAACAGTGTTCAGATTTGCTATGACAATTTTGAAACTTTTGTCCTAGAGAAATCAATGGAGTTGGATAAACCTCCATGCCTTCTCAGACAATAAAGAACTGTACATTGTTATTTCAACTGTAGCCTTTGAATGCATACTACTAAAAAGACTTTTCCAAAAAGCAGTAACAACAATCTTAGCAAAATGTGATGACAAGTTTCTGTTTAGTGACTCAGATGCCTGCCTTCTCTTCAGTAACTGACAGTCAACATGAGAGAATCAAAGAACATTTAATTGACTCTAAGTTGTGCCAAGGATTTATCCTGCAAAGATCCACATATACAGTCCTTCTCCAAACAGGAAAGTTTATGAAAGTTCAAAAAGTGATCAGCAAAATTCATGAAGGAAAAACCTCAGACTCAGTATTGTTTTGTGAGCTGCGTTTTAGAGAAGTTTAAGTGTGTCAGAACATTTGTCCTATTCTTACCTCTTTGCTGTGCATCTCTTTGGGCTGTTGCTGGAGACATGGTGGGTAGGCTGCTAGGGCTGTTCCATGTCTTCAGCCAGAGAGAGTTTTCCAACAGTCTCAAATGCATTCTGTTCCAGGACCATAGCCATAATCCCTAACAGAGCTTTTCAGTCTCAGCTAGATCAGCCACGTACTCACAGCATACAGAGAAACCCAAGCACTAAGACTAGAGACTCACCTGTGCATTCATGTTGTAGTCCTTTCCCATAGTATCCTTTTTCACAGATGCACTCAAACTGGCCAGTGTGAGTGCCGCATTTGCAGCTCGCCATGATGTCGCAGCAGTTTTCATTTGCCTCACAGAGATACGAACAATGTGAGAGATCTTCTTGGATATAGCTGCCAGAGGGCAGGTCTGAAATAATATCAATTTATTAACAAAAAATCCAAACAATAGTCTCCCCACTGCCTCACATTATGCTATTTGTGAAATGTTTCTTAAAAACACTAGCTTCCAGTTCTAAGCAGTAGCAATGGCAGCACGACACAGAGCCTTGCTACAGTCAAAATGTAAAAAAAACAATTGGTGTTCTTACTTTGGACAAGGGTTCACTGAAAGCCATGGTGCAAAGACCCTCCAATTTTCTCACTTGCTTTCATTTGAGCCTAACACTGTCAGGATGCAGTCTCACACCCAACAAGTGCTGCTGAGACAGCTTTTCCCTGCTTTGGTGGATGCCATCTTTGGCACTGGGAGAGCATTTGGTCACGGCATGCATAACCAGTTGGTCATATTAAAGAAATCTTTCCTTTGGCACATTCACAGAGACCAATTAAACCTTACCTGGAACAAACAGAATGGCAGTAAAGAATACTACTTATGTAAAAGTAGCATGCTTTTAAAAATTAAATGTAGCAAAAAAAAGCGCTAATAGCTACTCTGATGCATGTTCTAAGACTCAGTCGAGCAGCACTGGCTTACAGACAAAGGTCTAGTCATATGCTCTTATTCACTAGTTCAAAATAATACTATTTTTCAGGAAGAGCTATTTTTTTAGAATACAGCAGATGAAAAAGGAAAAAAACCACAGTCCAAACCCTCTTTTCACCCCTTGCTTTTTCCAGTTTTACTGAATGTATAAGGTCATAAACATAAATTGTATTTACCCTTAAACACAGAGATCTAAATCAGCTCTGAACAGGCTAGCTACCAGCAGGCATTAAGGCTAGTCCTAAGGTGTGTGCTTGGTGTCTCTTTTGGACAGCATGTATCTGACTACGAGGTTCATCCATTCAAGCAGAAGCTACATCGTGCCAAGACCACAGTCTGTTTTCTGTGGACAAAATGAAGAGTTGAATGGATGTAAGTATGTGTATTCCAAGGAGGAGAATTTGTCTCACATTTTGCTGATGATGAGTTAGTCAAACAAAATGCTTATCCCTTTACTTGAGGAATGAACACGTCTGCCAGAAAGCAGGAGCAAAATAGTAATAATAACAAGGAATCAGCACTATATGAAATGTAATTACAAGATAGTACTGGAGATCTCTCTACTCAGACCCCTCTGCTCTCTGTAAACATGAGAGGTTAGTACATCAATACCTTCATGAAGAGCCCTGCGTGCCAGAGCTTCAAACTCAGTAAAACTGTGAAGAAGGTAACAGTGATCTTCTTTTGGATGGGATGCCATGTCGTTCAGTTCTCGGATATTTCCTTGCCATATCCCGAAGGTGAAGATCTCCACTCCAAATTCACGCAAGGATGCTGCAATGGGTCTTGGGTCTCCCCCATTGGAATATCCATCAGTAATGAGAAATATCACCTTTGTGGCATTTCCACGGGCATGCCGTAATATTTGCTGGAAGAGAAAATGAAATTGCACACCTCAGGAAAGGGTTAGCAGCGGTTTATCTGTACACTACTTCCTCGATGATGTGGCTCCTTTTATTTGAATTATACAGCTAGATTAAGTCCTTGCAAGACCACTCCCTAAAATGAAAATCAACCATCTGCATGTAGAGCCCATGGTTAGATGAGGCCAACCACTGAGTCACAGTTCAGATGGTCACAGACTGCACAATCACAGAAACCATGACACGATCTGAAATGAAACACATTTCACACTGACCGAAAAACTCACCCATGTGACAGACAGCAATGATCCTGACCAGTGCTTTAGCAACTTCATTCAGACTGCAGTTTGAACAGGTAATACGAACACTGAAAATCTAGTGCAAGACCCGTAGGACCAAAGTTCAGACACTGCCAATTGTTTCAGTGCCATGGGAGTGATGCGGATGCAAGTCTGCTGCCAGTTTGGTTCATGCTGCTTTTCTATGCAAGAGTGCCATTCGGTTCCAAATTTTCCTGACCATTCAGGTAAGTGAAAACTCACCAAATCCTACCATGAAAATGTAATGCACACGTGCTGCAAATGGTGGCACACCCACTCTCATTATCACAGCTTTCAGTAGGTAATATATGAACAAATTCTCTACAGTTTGAAAGGTGTAACTAAGAACAAAAGGTATTTTATTAGGGATTATTTCACTTTAAAAAAATCCACAGATCTATTGGAAAAAATGTAGGGACTTACAGATCAATGAAAGTTGAAGAATCAGTCAAAACTACAGACACATTACTGAAAACAGCTCTCACACACATTGTCAGCTTTTTACATGAGGAAGAGCAGTTAAAGCTGCCACTGTGATTATCTGGCCATAGACCCACAAATTTTTTATTTCCATATGTTCCTTCTCACCTTCCCTCTACTGTTTCCTTGTCTAAAAGGTGAAATCTACTGTAGTTCTGGAAAACAAAACAGTGACTGTGTCATTCTCTTGCCTTGTAAGGCAGATGGAAAATTGTTATTTACTCAGTAAGCCCACAAGAAATTTCATAGTGTATGCATAGACAGAGAACATGCCCAGCCTTTGTACATGGGTATGAAGGAAAAGGTAGTGAGACAGAAAAAATTCTGCCAGGAACAGCAGTCAAAAAAAACAGCATCTCAGATACTTGATGTGCGATGCAAAATATAGCTGTGCCCATTGCAGCTTCATAAGCCTCTCTGTGACGGGAAGTTGAACAGGTTTTAGAAACAGATGAGAACATGAGTTAGGAATTAGTTAGAAAAAAGTTCCTACTAATTGCCAGGCTAGTAAATTACAAATAAAAATCAAAGAATTTGGGTGTATCTCCTATTAAACAAGCTTCAAAAGAGTGACCATGCATGCACAGGGTACCTTGCTTCCCTAAAAGCACGCTCACTGTACCTCTTTACAGCCAGCTGTTGCATACCAGCATAACTGCACTAGGAAGATGGAACCTGGAAAAATAAGCAGTCCTCAAAACTGTAGTTTTATGCATGGAAAAAAACCCAAAGCTTGACAACAATCATGAGCGTTTCCTATGGTGTCATGCATTCAAGGATTCCATGTCAAGTCTGAGACAAGAGTTACGAAGTTTAACCAGGTGATCAACTGAAAAAAAACGAGTGACTAAAAGAACATTCTTTATTGTGTGCAAACTGCTTGCTCCTAAGAGATCAAAATCCTTCTATCTCTATCTCCCACACGGTGACTACTTTTACATTTCTGTTTTTCTTGCAACGCTGAGGTAACAAATAAGATCTAACCTCTTTTAATGTCAGCTTACATTAAAATTACTTTAATGTCCACTAAATTATAAAGCCCATTTCAATTATATTGTCAGTCTCCTCCCAACAAGCATTTGGACTGCTGGTTATTTTAGCCCCAGCACAGCATTCCTCATTTTTCCCTGTTTAATTGTGTTTTCTCCCTTAAAACAGTTTCTGAAGATTGTTTTAGCTTGTCCGTCATGGCCTGAAAAATGGCCCATAGCCCTTTCCACCCTGCCGCCACCTGCAGATTTAAGGTTCATTCCTTCTAATACTTCACACAAAACATCTGTGACAACACTCAGTTGTGCCTGTGTGAGGATGTGCCCCACAGATTCCTGCCCATCATCCTTCCAGTTGGTCAGTACACCAGTGCTCATTACTCTCCGAGTACATTTGTTCTTGGACGACAGGCAGAGCACCTGCAAAACTGTGATGCTAACATGCCTATGGACTAAAAACCACCCTATGGAATCACAACTCTCATAATCAGCTGCAGTCTGTCAGAGTGTGAGTAAATAGGGGCCACCACCGATCTCTTGGTGGCCAGGTGCTGCCTGTGACCCTAAAGCAGGGGAATGCAAAGGTGTACTTTCTCCTTCCTCTGTGAACTGATGTAGAAGGAATTAGATGGAGACTTTCAACTTGGTAGCATGCAAATTACTAAGACATTTATTTCTCTCATTTATTATTATTTATTTATTATTCATTTATTTCTAAGACATTTATTTCAATAGTAGACTGTAAATGCTACAATTTAAGCCATAACAAATTCCAAAACTGAGATGAGCTGAGTTTAGTAGTTATATTACAAAATCTTTAAGTAAGACTTAAGAGGTAAAACTGTCTGTCTTTCAGCTCAATCAAAAGCTTGCCAGTTAGGCCAGTCAAAGAACCCGCAGAGGTTTTATAACCTCTCTCAGTAAGCCAGGCCACATTTCAGGCCAATTTGATTTTGATTTGGCAATTCATTGATTTCAGGTAAAAAACTAAAAACAAGCATACACACCATAAATCAGAGCACAGACCATTGGCACCGTGGTCTGAAAGACTGCCAAGCAATGTGTTGCTGTTGGGCTTGATTTTATTACTACTTGTATGCAAAACCCAAAGGGAGTGAAACCAAATTCTCTTGCAGACACAAACACCCTTCACAAACCAAACTTATTGTTCCTCATGTTGCTTAAGTCGTAAGTGGAAAACCAGAATGAAGTGAAAAACCAGAATGAAGTGAAAAACCAGAATGAAGTGGAAAGCTAGGTTGAAAAGAATCAGGAAGATAAAGGTAAGGCAAAAGACGATATTAAGACAAATAGTAGGAAAAAACCATAAATGCCACATTCCAAAATGCATTCTGAAATGGATGCTCTACGACAAGTGGCAATGCAGGCAGAGAGGGTAGTGCTATTTACAATTAACACATAAAACTAACATATTTAGCATTTACTGTACTATTTTGAAATGCAATGTAAGCAACTTAAACTTCTATCCAACTTCTTAAGTATCCAGGCTGAAATTTTCCACTCAGGATGTTTGTCTCAAGCTGTTTTAGCGAAAATGGTTTTATTTCGAAAAACAAAATGAGGAAAAACATATGTTCCATCCATACTTACTTGCTTTTGCAACCATAGCATCTCCAAGCTTTGCAGAAGGAACTTGCAATCTGCAAATCACGTTTATAATAAAGGTGAGGAAATAGGCCCCAATATATGCAAGTTGTGGAACCTGTGCAACTGAGGAAGAAACCACAACTTGCCCATAGTGAAGAGACATAACGGAGACTGCCAGTGCAATTCTCTGAAGATCCCACCTGCACACAGCCTGGTCTAGCAGAGTATGATTTCAACTCTCAGTTATATTGTAACATGTGCAGAAGGGGGAACAAAGCTTAATTCTGGCAGGATGTGGCTTTGTACTTTCAGTAATAATCTTTCAGCACTGTTTCCCTCTGTCCATAGCACAAAACTCCACAGATTTTTCAGATGAAGGTAGTGGACGGCATTACCCATTACCCCAGTTTTTCAGCAAGTGGTACTCATAATAGGTAGCAAACAAACTTCTGTATTTTGCCTAAATACAGGGACACGTCTGCATATCCAGTGAACAAACTAGCTTGAGCTCCAGTAGTCCAGCCAAGACAACATGGATCTCCAAAAGGACTATTTAACCCAGATTAGTAAATTAGCAGGGATCTGTTTTGCAAAACTAGACTGCCACCAACACCCTCTGAGACAGCTGAGCAGAGTACACAGGGCCGCCATGTCTTTCCATGCGACCAAGAAAGGTTCCCTGGCTGTAGGTCCCATGAACAACAGCTTACCAAGCCCTCTTAAAACATGTGCGTCATCAGTTAGGGTAAGTGGGAAGCATCGGGCAAAGACCATTTCTGTGGGGCAAATATCCCTTGCCTACACAACCCTGAGATAAGGCAGGCAGCCAACAGGGCCAAGGAGGGCAACCTCCTCTTTGGGCAGCACTTCTGTCACAGACACACATTGCGCCAACAGGTAAGAGAGTATGAAGCTGTCTTCCTGCTACCTGTCGGTCTCGAATACTCAGGCACCAGTGGATCTGTGTAGAGAAACAGATGAACAGACAGCATTGCTACATATTGCCCCTAGAAATCAAAACAAAACAAAGCCACTGAACAGCTTGGCCCTCGTGTCTTGCAGCTGTAACGACAGACACACAGTCCCTGCAGTGTAACAGCAGAGGAAAAGAACAAGGGAAAGAAACATTTGACATCTGGGGGGCAGGAAGAGACATAAGTCTATTTTTAAATCATCTGTATATGTCTGGTGGTCCAGTCAGTGTTTTGTTTCCTTCTGTGAAAGCACAGTGACAGAAGGGACAGGCCACCATCCAGAGCCGCTGACAATCCAACTAACAGTCTGCCTTGCTCTGCCTCTTCTCTCCAATATTTGTGTGGCATTTCACATGATTTTTGTTTCCTTTAACCCTGACTCACATTATTCTGGGACATCTCTCTCCTTCCCTCTCCAGAAAGTTGTTTTGGAAGCTGTTTTTCCCAACAGAAATTTCATATATTTCAAAATGTCTGTTCACTTAACCCCTAAGCTTGTAAGCACGCACAGAAGTGGTTCCATGTATCTGACCAGTCCACACCAACTTCATGGACTGCGCCTACATAAAGGTGACCTTTTTTCATGACAAGGCTCTGCAGTCCTTTCATAAATTGTTAGGTTCTTCAATAAATT